CACACACACACACACACACACACACACACACACACACACACACACACTGATGTCCTGCAGGTCAATTGACCAAGCTTCCAGGTTCTCCAGGATACTTGGTCATCCTGCCTGCAGGCACCACAAACTCAACGTGTCCCAAAGTGGCCTCAGCACACCCCCTTTCCCTGCACCCTCCCCAGAGCACTCGCCTTCTTCAGTTCACACTGCCTTTACTATGCAGTCAACATGTTCTTTCATATCTTTTTTTTTCTGAGACAGACTCTTGCTCGGTCGCTTAGGCTGGGGTACAGTGGCACAATCTCTGTTCACTGCAACCTCTGCCTTCTGGCTTCAAGCGATTCTTGTGCCTCACCTGCTACCATGCCCAACTAATTTTTTGTATTTTTAGTGGAGACGGGGTTTTGTCACATTTGCCAGGCTGGTGTTGAACTCCTGACCTCAGGTGGTCCACCTGCCTCAGCCTCCCAAAGGGCTGGGATTACAGACATGAGCCACTGCGCCTGGCCTACGTGTTCTTAATAAGCTCTTGCCACATGCCAGACTCTTGCTGACGGCACACCCTGATGTTAAAGCCCAAGAACTGGGAGTCAGCTTAAATTCTCTCCCTCAACGCCTACATCCAGTCAGTGTTACTACTTCTAGTGGCAACTGTAGAAGTAGCAACAAAAGGTGCTGTTCTCATTCTTTTACGTATATTAAATCATTTCATTCTATCCTGTTGAGATACATAGACACTATTATCGCTTCCATTTTACTGATGATGAAGAAATGGAAATGTGGAGGTAGTCTGAAGTCGCCTGCCCAGGGTCTTAGAGGCAGTAAGTGAGTAAGTGAAGGAGCTGAGAGGTGAACCCCAGCAATCCGACGCTGGAGTCTCACTGATGTGGCTTCTAGCTATTTCTAGTCCGTCCACATCTCCTCTCACCACTGCCCCTGTCTTTCCTTTGGCCACTGCCATGCTGCCTTGGTTTAGGAGTCTCTTCATTGGCGTCCCCAACTTCAGTCTGCCCCGGGTAACTGCTGCCAAAGTAATTTTTCAAAGACACAAACCCTACCACCTTGCTCTCCTGCTAAAAGTTGTCCCGTGGCTCCCCACTGTCTTAAGAATAAAGTCCAAATTCTTAGCAAGGCCTACCTACCATACAGGTATGACCACTTCTAACTCCAGATCTTCTTTCCCCACTACTGCCCTTCTCACTGGCCCCCCCCACCCAACACACACACACACGCACGCGTGTGTGCGCCACACACACACGCACGCACACACACACACACACGGTTCAGCCAGCCAAACTCACTTTCTCTAGAATTTACTTGGTTCCTTCTTAACTTTGTGCCTTTGCAGCGTGTGCTGTTCCCTCTGTCTGGAACGTCCTTCCCTGCCTCTTCACCTGATTCTTACTAATCTTTTACGACTCAACGTTGATTCTGCCACCTCAAAATAATTTGTTAAAAAAAAAAAATGGATAGGCCCGGCATGGTGGTTCACGCCTGTAATCCCAGCACTTTGGGAGGCCGAGGCGGTGGATCACGAAGTCACAAGATCGAGACCATCCTGGCCAACATGGTGAAACCCCGTCTGTACTAAAAATGCAAAAATTAGCTGGGCATGGTGGTGCGTAGTCCCAGCTACTCAGGAAGCTGAGGCAGGAGAATCATTTGAACCCGGGAGGCGGAGGTTGCGGTGAGCTGAGATAGCACCACTGCACTCCAGCCTGGCAACAGAGCAAGACTCTGTCCCAAAACAAAACAAAACAAAACAAAAAGGATCAGGCTGGGCACAGTGGCTCATGCCTGTAATCCCAGCACCGTGGGAGGCTGAGGCAGGTGGATTTCTTGGACTCAGGTGTTTGAGACCAGCCTGGACAACATGGCAAAACCCCATCTCTACAAAAAAATACAAAAATTAGTTGGGCATGGTGGTACATGCCTATAGTCCCAGCTATTCGGGATGCTAAGGTGGGAGGGCGGCTTGGGCCTAGGAGGCAGAGGTCGCAGTGAGTTGAGATCAGGCCACTGCACTCCAGCTTGGGTGACAGAACCAGACTCTGTCTAAACAAAAAAGGAGTGGGGGTATCAATGACTGGTGAAGTAAACAATCTCACAATAGCATCACCATACATTATACCTGTGTGGAGTCATTTTTTTTTTTTTTTTTGCAAATCCCCCTCACATTGGCTACATGTTTGATCTTCCCAACACCCTGTGAGGCAGGGAAGATAATTATCCTCCCCTTGAGAAACTGAGGTTCAGAGAGGGTAAATGACACGATAGTCAGGATCAGAGCCAGGGCTTGAAGCCACATTTTCTGTCACTCAGGCCAATGCTCTTCTTGCAGGATTGCAAGAAGTAAAATCTACGCATCTGCCTTATAACTGGGGGAGTGGGGGACTTGGCCTCTGTCCCCTGCCCTGTTATGCCCAGGCAAAGGAGAATGACAGGGCTGAAAGTGGAAGCTAATGGTCTGGTTCTCCCAGCCACAAGGGCTGCCCACTTCCCAGAATGTGTAGGGAAAATTGTCTGTACTGCCCAAAAGCTCCATGCCTAGTGTGAAAGCAAGACCTTTAGTGACCCCAAGAACTCAAAATATGTGATTCACAATTTTTCTAAAAATAGTAAACTTAATTAACAACCTCAAAAGTGTGAAGAAGTCCAGTGAAAGTCTAATTTCTTCCCCTACGCAGTCCTCTTTGAGGCTGTGGATGAAATGTCAAATTCTCTTCACTCCTCCTCCCTTATTTTTGGCTGTCCCTGCTGCGCTGGTGCCCTAGACAAATGCTTATCTGCCCCTCTAGGTGGGAAGCAAGCACAGGCTTGCCTGGCCTTTGGTCTTCTGACCTTGGCCTCTAGGGGCATACTGGGATGCCTGGCCCTGTCCAAGGGTGAGGCTGGATGAAGGGAGAAGAGAGGGCTGGGGCCAGACGCCCAGCACTTATTGGGATGGGGGCAGAAGTTGAGACAGTGTGGGGAGGCGGGTTCTGCCACTGGGGCTGATCAAGCAGCTGAGGGGTGCCAGGGACCAGACACAGAGGCAGGAGGGTAGACGGCGCCCAGGGAAGGAGTAGGGGAGGAAAGCCCTCACCACAGCAGGTGTGGCACAGCTGCCAGCCAGGACCCCCACAGCTTGCCCTCTGCATACGGTGGAATGGGGCCTAAATATCAGTCATGGAAAGGAAAGTCACCTTTTCCCACCTCCTTCCTCCTTCCACCCACGGAGAAGTCAGAAGTTGTCTGACTTCCACATCCATAGACTGAACAGCGCCGAAGGCTGAGAGTATTAGAGGCCTTTGTCTGGACACACTGCATGCCTGCTATGACTCAGTTTCCCCCACTAGCTAACTGCCGTACCCCAATCCTGCCCCCCAACTTTGACTTCTCTCAAAAGATCTGTTCACTCTCCCATTGGATGAAGTTGTACCTGATAATTAAGTTGGGTTCATCAAGCATGGATGAGGCACCTACTGTGTTCCAGGCCTTGGGCAGTGCACTATGTGGATGAAGCCCAGCACCTGGCCCAGCGGCTCCCACTGGGCTGGGTTACATCACCCTGGAGCACCTGCTCCTCCTTCCACCCTCAGGCGGATCTGGCTTCCACGATGCCCCTGCTGGACAAGAAGGGAACTACAGGGCTCCTTGGAGGGAGGAATCTATTATGGGTGGCCTGTGAGTCCCTGAGGGCAGTCCCACCCCCAAGTAGAGAAAATGAGTATCTGAGCCTAGCCTCCTTCCCACCCACCACAGAGCCCAGGGGCAAGAGCAGGCTAGGTAGAGAAGATAGCCCCTTCCTGACGCTTCTTTTGGGCGGCAGTCTCCACCCCCGACCCCAGGATCCAATGGCAGAACGCCAGTTGCCCCAGGACTGCTGCCCTGGTGGCCTCACCTAGGGAGGTCCCATTCTCACAGTCCCCCAGTGGGGCCTGGGAGCCCTCCTCTCCTGAAATACACGCAGGAGTGTACACATCCACACGCTGACGACAACAGAAAACCCCGGAGAAACCAAAGCCAGGAGCGGCATGCTGTCTGAACATGGACTGGGAGAGGGGGGCCTGCAGAGGGAAGGGAAAGCTGAGGCAGGGGGCCCTGGGCTGTGACTCAGGCCCCAGGAAGCTAATGACTCCCAGACTGGCCCTCTAATGACTCACAGCGACTGCAGGCTCGGCAGCTCCCACAGCGCCTCTGCGGGGATTCCTCCCAGCTGGTTGTTCTGCAGCATCCTATGGGGGAAGAGAAAGGGCTTTAAGGACCCACCTGGCATGTGGAGCTGGGTGGGGGGTGCCGACTCCTCCTGAACCCCCAGCCCCAAGCTAGGCCCCTCCTTCCCACCCCAGCCTCAGAGCCCCGGAGAGAGTCTGGTTCAGCTCCCCTGCCTTGTTAGTGTAGAACTAGAGGCTGCTGAGGTCCCCAGGGTGTTGTACATGGGGCAGGGAGGCTCAGTGTGTAGGGAGGGAGGGCATCTCAGAAGAGAGCCTAGGATGAGATGGGGGTGAAGAAGACCATGGAGAGGAAGGAGAGAAGACCTCCTGAAGTCAGAATACTTGGGATTCTGTTGAGGTTTGGTCAGGAAGGATGTGGGAAAATGTAGGTTGTCAGTTTCCCTGTCTATTCATCTGAAAGGCTAAAGGTTTCTTTGTGGAAGGGGAGGATGTGGATGAGGGTAAGGCTGCCCTTAGGGTGTCAGGGCCCCAGGCAAATATATATTTTTGGGAGCATTTGTCTATAGGAACAATTCGAAGCACCCAAGATGAGTGTATCCACACTATTCTGATGGCCCAGTCTCACCTAATCCCTCAAAGAAGTGCCGTGCCAGCCAGGGAAAGCAATCTGCTCACTGCTGTCCTCCAGGAACCAGGGCCCAAGCCACAGACCCCACAACGACTCCATCGGCAGGAGTCCTGGAGCTCCTTGGGGCACCTGGGAGCCCCATGTGTAGGATAGAGAGTCAGAGAGCATGCACAAGGGGAGAAATAGGGTCTGGGGTGCCTCTCCAGGTGGCTCTGCTGACTCTAGCCAACCCCAGGCATCAGAGGGGTCTTAGAAAGTTTTGAGGACAGCACTCGAAAGTGCAGGGAGTCCCTGAGGCACAGAGCCCTGAGCAAGAGGAGGAACTGGGCAAAAACATGGGAGGAAGCCCTTGGGTAACAGCTGCCATCTGCACTTTCTTTACCTCCAGGCCTTTAGATCCAGAAATGAGGAGAAGGAGAGCTCGCAGGAAGTTCATGGAAGAGCTGGGGAAGCAGGAAGGAAGGAAGCCACTGACTGCCCTGGGCACAGTGAGTGAGCCCTACCCTAGGAGATTCAGTCCTCCCTTTATGGTGTATCCATTTGAGGGGGAAGCCTTGGCCCATGACCATTCAGGTAATTCCATGCTTCAGGAAGAGTAGCTCATTTTCCAATCCTTTAGTTTAATAATAGCAGTGGCTAATGTGCCAGGTCCTGGTCTTAGAACTTGTATGAATTCAAAGTTATCCTTGTTACCACTCCAACAGATAGGAATTATTATCATCCTCATGCTGAGGGTACATACAACTGGTACGTGACAGAGCCGGGCTTTGAACCCAGAGGGTTTGGGTCCAGAGTCTAGACACTTAACCATTACACCATAGTGTCTGTCATGCTGGTGGGATACAGCGATGGCCAGAAAATGCTGAGCAGTAAGATGATGAGCCTGCGTTGTTACCCATGCCTCCTGTGGGACGTCCTGGTCAGAGTCACATGCCATCTCTCTTAAACTCCTCTGGATATGTGAAAATCTCAAATATGAACCCAACCTCAGCATCACAAGAACAAAAGAATGCTGGGCTCACTGTGGGAAGGGGTGGGGATAGGAGGAGCCCTTCACAGAGGCAAGGCTGCAGAAAGGAGAACAAAGAACAAAGACAGACTTTGGGGAGCCCTGGGATTGGGTTCCTCCTTGCCACCCCAACGGTGGGGAAGGGGCAAGGGCAGTACAGAGGAAGGGCCTGGCTGCAGGAAGGGGCAGAGCCCAGGGCTGTGAGCAGCTGGGGGGCTCAGCTCCTTTCCATATACACTCTGTGATCCTGCAGGTCTGTTGGCCTCCACTGGCTCCTTCAATCCAGACTCCACCCAGTGCCAGAAAGACCTTTCCAGTTTCAGAGTTTTGCCTCAGGGTTGGAATTTAAGCCTGTGTCTCTTGGGCTTCCTTAAAGTATAGTGGTCATGGGTGCCGGCTCTACAGTCAGACAGCCCTGATCCGCATCCTAGCTCTATTGCTTTCCAGCTGTGTGACGGTGTGCATGCTACTTAAACACTGTGGGCCTTAGTTTTCTCCTCTGTAAATTGGGGATGATACTGACCTCATGCACTGATTGTGTGGATCAAATAAAATCACCCCTGTAAAGCACTCAATGGCAGTGTCTCACACAGAGGACAAGTTCAAAAGCACATCCGCTGATATTATCATGATCATTATTAGTAGTCGGTCTCAGTGTTACCACTTACTGGATGACTTGAGTAAGTCACTCCCTTTCCCCTCTCTGGACCTTGATTCCTTCATCTTTCAAAGCAAGAGGCTCCCAGAAGGTGCATAAAGCCTCACTCAGTGGTAACATTCCATCCAGGACATTTCCTGGCCTCTGCCTTGCTTAGTGTTTCTACCCTCCTAGCCATCCTGACTTCTTTCATCTAAAGAGTGGGCCTTTGCTTCCCATCTCAGGGGTCGGCCTTGATTCTCATGCAGAAGTCTGAGGGTGCTTGGAGGAAGGACACAAGAGAAATGCTGGCTGAGAAAACAGGGGGTCACAGGTGCTCACAACTCTTCACAGCCCCCCCCAACAGGGGCCAGGGAGGCTCCATCTGGTCACTGCACAGGTGAGTCCCCAGCTCCATGGGGCACCTCAATGCATCTCCACCCACACCACCTCCTAAGATTCCTCCATCCTTTCCTTTGTCAAATCCAAGACACAGATCTAGAAAGATCTTCAAGGTTACTGAATTGTACCTCCTCCCAATACACACAGTGCAACATCTGCCCAGGGCATTTAATTTTCCTTCTAGTGTCGGGGAACTCATTGTCTCCCCAGACGATTCATCCCATGCCAGACAGTCTGATTATCAGAAAGTCCTTTTATTTATGGAATCAACATCCACCAAACTTGAGGTCTGCATGGCAGTAGCTTTGGCCCTGACCCATTTCCCTTGATGTTCCTGGTCTCATTTCCCAGCCATCGTTCTTTTATTGAACTACAACTGGGTTATTAGTTATAAAGGTTGGAAGCGCCTTTAGAAGGAAACAGCCCCTTTGTTTTCCAAGATGAGGAGGTGAAGGCTCAGAGAGGGAGGGTAACTTGCCCTAAGTTACAAAGCAAATTAACGGCAGAATCAGGACTAGGACTCAAGTCCTGTCTCTCAGGCCAATGCTTTTGTGACTACATTTTCCTACTTCTCTTCCTAGCCTGGTTCTGCATGGGGAGGCTGTCTATCTAATCCAGTGGTTCTCAGCCCTGGTTGTACATCAGAATCAATAGACAAAGTTTTAACATTTTCTTTTTAGAGATGGGGTCTTGACTTTGCCCAGGCTGGTCTCAAACTCCTGGGCTCAAGCGATCCTCCTGCCTCAGACTTCCAAAGCACAGGGATTACAGGCATGAGCCACTGCACCTGACCTCTGAGATGATTTTTAAGATCCCAATGCCCAGGTCACACTGAAGTCCAGTTAAATCTCTGGGGCAAAGTCTCTGGGGAAGGGATATTAGGCATCAGTGGTTTTGCAGGCTCTCAGGTGACTAATGTGCAGCTGTTGGTCCGGTAGAAGTCTAGTCCCCAGCGCTCCTCCCCTCCTCACACATGTGAAGCATCTCCGTGGCCAGAGAGGCATTTGGGGACAGGAACCATGAGTGTCACATCCAAAAGGTACAAGAGAGGCTATCCATCAGTGCTTTCCAAAGGCTTCTTTAGTTCTGTAGAAGTGCTTGGGGCTTATGGGATAGGTAGGTAAGATACAGCTTGGAGTCGAACACCCTCTTCACTCACTTTAACCAGAGACTGCCTTCATCTGCTTTATGTATCTGGACTTCTGCACAAAGTGCTTTTTTTTCCTTGAGATGGTGTTTGCTCTTGTTGCCCAGGCTGGAGTGCAATGGTGTAATCTCGGCTGACTGCAACTTCCACCTCCCGGATTCAAGTGATTCTCCTGCCTCAGCCTCCCAAGTAGCTGGGATTATAGGTGTGTGCCACCATGCCTGGCTAATTTTGTATTTTTAGTAGAGACAGGGTTTTACCATGTTGGTCAGACTGGTCTTGAACTCCTGACCTCAGCTATCTGCCCACCTTGGCCTCCCAAAGTGCTGGGATTACAGGTATGAGCCACTGGGCCTGGCTCACAAAATGCTTTTGATTGTGTTTTAAGTTTCCTTTTTAAAAAAATTTTTCATGTAGACGGGTAATGTGCTGATGTCGTAACAAGGTCCAAGGGTGACACATCTCACACATACATGTAAACACCCAATCATCACATGTACGAACTACACAAGGATCTGTAAGTTTCCACAGCTAAAAATGCTGGAAATTTTATTTTGACTCCACCATTTTAAAAGGTGAGAAAACAGAGGCTCAGAGAGAGGAAATCTGAGGTCCTCCTTGACACCTGTTGTGGGGTCTGGTGAGGCTCTGAGTCTGACCTCAAGGTTTCTGACTATATGACACACTTCCTGTCATCCAGTCCCTTGAAGGGATGAGGGCAGCAGGCCTTGACTCATGTATAGGGGTAACCCAGAGGGGACAGCCTTCTCCCTCAGGCTGGTGAGGCTCGGACAGAGCCTAGCACTCCCAAATGAGTAGCATGTCCCTTTGTGGGTCAGTTCAATTCAGTTCATTGACATTAATGGAGCCCAGACTCAGCCAGGCATGGTCACCACCTTGCTAGGTAGAGAGTAAACATCGTCAATGTCAACCAAAGACAGCTCCATAGAGGGTGAAAAGGGCTACGCTAGAGGTCGGCATGGGGAGATTTTCTCAGGGATGGGTCTTGGAGATGCTAACTCCTAATCACTCCTCCATGGCCTACAGCCAGGGTTTCATACGGGATGGGCCCCAGCTCAGGAAGCAGCAGGTGCCTTCTGAGAGCCTTAGTCTTTATCAAGATGGCATGGGCTGAGAATCCGCAGTCACAGACTTACGGGGATTTGGGGCTCAATCCAGAAGCAAGGCACCTGGGAAAATCTCCTGCCCAGTCTCTTGTGGGCAGGACAGGAGGCAGCTCCTCAGACTGTCAGCCCCAGCTTCCCAGATCTGGGCCTGGTGAGAAGCAGCTGAAGCCCAGCAGAAGCCTTTCTAGATGGGGTCAGGCTAACCTGGCATAGGGAGGGAGGAGCTGGTCTGCAGAGGTGGGAAGGTAACCAAGGCTCACGCCTCACCCAGCTCTCTGGGAGGTCAGCTCTGGGGAAAGAAACCTGGGATGGAGTCGGGACAGGAACCTTTTGAGATACAGACTGGAGAGGCCTGACACACATGCACACACACATCCCCACACCCTCAGGCCACAGGTCAAGATGCAGGAGCGCTGGCCAAAGCTGTCCTTGTGTAAAACCAGGCAGGGGAGGAGCCCTCAGAGGCTCAGGCATTTTCCCACACGCCTAGGGCAAAGGGAAGTGTGGCATCCCTTAGGACAGCTCCAGTGCTGAGCCGGGACGGTGAGACTAGCGGTGGTTAAGACTCGCGTCTGGGCCTTGCCAGCTCTACAGGACTGAGATAGCAATGTGAGACTGAAAGTTCCCTGCAGGGGCTGACTCTCTTGATCTGAGCCTGGCCAGAGCCTGTGGGTTGAAGACTTGGAGAACTCCCAGAGGAAGAAGAAGATCTTAAGAGTAATATCGACCGGGCACGTGGCTCACACCTGTAATCCTAGCACTTTGGGAAGCCAAGGCAGGCAGATCACCAGGTCAGGAGTTCGAGACCATCCTGGCCAACACAGCGAAACCCCATCTCTACTACAGATACAAAAAAAATTAACCCAGCATGATGGCACATGCCTGTAATCCCAGCTACTCAGGAGGGTGAGGCAGGAGAATCGTTTGAACCCAGGAGGCGGAGATGGCAGTGAGCTGGGATCATGCCATTGCACTCCAGCCTGGGCAACAGAGCAAGACTCTGTTTTTTAAAAAAAGAGTAATATCTCCAGGTCAGGTGGGGATGGCTAGGGGTGTTGGGAGTGGAGGAAAGACATGAGAGAGGGCTTCTGTCACAGTCATTTAAGAAAGGATCAGAGAGGGAATCCTCTTTATTTAATCCTTTGCCGTGGGAGGGAACGACCAAGGCAGAGTGTCCCACAGGGAGAGCCCAGCCTCTGAAATAAGACGAGGCCACTCAGATAAGGCTCCCAGACCCAGAGAGGACTGAGGAGCTGTAATGTGACTGTCTCCCAGTACAAAAATAAGTTATTATTATGGTGCTGCTGCTCTATTTTTCTCGTAGCTCTGAAAAGCCGGCAATGGAAGGAACTACAAGGGAAATTGACATCAGACATCAGAAAGTAATTCATGCCCAGGATGCAGGTGGAATCTTCTGCTTTGAAGCGTGTAAGAGGATAAGTCCCCAAGACCACCCAAACTATCCCTAAGGTAGAGAGGTTCTGCAGGCAAAAGACTGACACAAAGGCTTTGGGGGACCGGGTGATCTTTGAGGATGCAGCAAAATTAGACTCAATGGCAAAGTGGGGAGCAGGTAGCTTGGCTGGCCTCAGCTCCCACTCAGCTCCTGCCCACAACCTCCCCCTCCTGCCCTATTCACTGAGCCAAGGGTGCCATTTGTAGAAAGGGGGGCGGGAGGCCTGTGGTTTCTCCGAAGCTTTGATTTATTGCCTAATGCAGGCAAAGAAGAAAGAGGAGGCTCATCTCTAAGCCGGAGTCTTAGGAACGGGACGTGAGTCTTACATCTTCTGAAGGCCCAGTAAACAGAGCCCTGCTCTCTAATCCAGGCTGCAGGTCTGAGCCTGCCACTGGGCACAGACACGCCACCAAGCAGGCTGCCTGCACTGCGTGTCTGTTTCAGAATGCCTCCCTGCTCCCCAGGGCAGAGATGTTTATGGGGAGAGAGACACAGAGAGGAGACAGGAAGAAGCAGAACTAAGAGGCAGGGGATAGAGGGACAGAGAGTGGGACAGCAAGGTCTGAGACAGAGAAGGAGAAGGGGGAGACAAGGAGACTGAGGCTGGTGACAGACAGGAGAGACCCAAGGACAGAGAAGAGAGTAAGGGAAAAATAGAGACCAGAGAGCCCCGGGAGTCAGAGATGCACAGGCAGAGGGACCAGAGACCAACAACACGGGGAAAGGAGTCAGTGCTTAGATGAGGACTATTGACCTTGACCTGCTGGAAGCCTGGAGCTCACGGGCCAAGAGGGGCAGGACCACCACTAGCCCATCAGCACCTCTGAGTACATTTTTAAAAGATATCCCTTTCTGGGTGGATGCAGCCCCAAGCCAGAGCACACAACTGGGCTTCACCCCCTTCTCACTCTCTTAACCAGATTCTCTGGTGAAATGAACAACCTGCTCAACTGTACAAAGGAGACCTGCAAGTCAAGTCAGGGGTAAGGGAGTAGCAGAGCTGGGAATGACTCACCACTTTAAGGAAGTCCCAAATGCTCATTCTATTGCTCCAGCATCAGTCCCCAGTATCCTCATTTTCTTCCCAAACGAGACCCTGTGGCAACATACCCTCCCTGGGAACCTCTCCTACCTACCTCAGTCCCTGTGCAGCCACTTCCTCCCAATTCCTCTAACCCCCACTCATCATAAGAACGTGAGGAGGCTTGGGGAGGACCGTCTTAGTTGGAACAAGGTGAGTCATGGGTTAGGATGGGAAGAGACTGTGCCCCAGTCTTCCTGTCTCTGAAATGGGCCATCAGTGGAAGCTAGGTGAAATAACAAAAGGTCCTCTCCAACTCTCGCTTTCCTTTTGCTTCAGAGGGAAGAGGCAAAAGAGGAGCAGGGAGGAAGCCACCTGAAGACTGAAGGAGTGAGTTGTTTACAGCCGGAATGGAAACTCAGTGCTGCAGCCACAGAGACTAAGGCTGGGTTGCAAGGGGAGGGAGAGGCAAAGAAAAGCCACCTGTATTTCTCCTCTCCAGAAGCAGTCTTATCCCTCTCTTGGGCTAGAGGTCACGGGGAGAGACCTGTGGGTCTCTAACTGAACTCAGTCCCACAAAAACCTATATCCATGGTCATCATACACTTTGTATTTTTTAAATGTTTCACTTTCTTTTAGTGTGGCCACACGTAGCAGGTACAATTAAATGTTTCCTTACAAATCACAAAGTTTGTTACAGACAAGGTGAAGCAAAGAAATGAAAATAACAATTGAAACTGAAAATGAAGATAAGGAAATAATAAGCAAGTCAGTGGTAAACCAAGACTCGGGGTCTAAAACTTTGATTTGTTCACAATTCTCAGTGCCGCAGCTCTATGTAAAATGAGGTGTGCCTATACTTACAGGATTTTCAGGCTGTAGAGACCAGAGAATGCTTCTCCCGGGATGTGTGAGAGATGGTTCCCAGAGAGACGCCTGGAAATCAGAGACAAGGGTCAGCGATGTTGGCCGGTAACACAAGGAGGTGGTGACCTCCGTAAGTCAGTGTCTTGGGGTAGGGGAAGGGAGGGTGGTGGTAAGGACTACCATTTATTCATGTGTTTAATAATTCACATACATTGCCTCCGTTCTCACTATAATCCTGTAAAGTGCCTATCATCCCCAAATTTCAGATGAGGAAACTGAGGCTGGGAGAAGTCAACCACTTTCCTTAGGGGTCACAGAACCAGTCAATGGTAGGGCATGGTGTTCTCACCCAGACCTGACTAATTTCAGGGCTCACGGCCACAGTTTCCCCACATCCTCTCCTGTGCTATGCTGATTCCCCACTGCCTGCTCTTACCCGCTGACTGCATTATATGGTGTCATCCATGGAGGGATGAGTACCGGGGGCGTGTCTGTGTCTCTCCAGGCCCTAAACTACACAGCTAACCCTCACTAATCCAGGAGGGCTAGGAAATGGGGTGTTGGAATTCATCTAACATTCTGGTCTAATTAAGGGTTTCCATGTTTGTCAGGGAGTGATCACCAATTCTGAAAGGAGCAAATGCAACGAAATACACTCACTGCTGAAGCTGACTGAGCAGTTTAATGGTGGATGATTCAGAAGACACTGCCTGATCTCCAAAGTCCCCAGGGACATCATTATGTGCATCAGTTGCTACCGAGAGACTTGTAGATTGGAGATTATGCTGACATACCTCAGAAGCTATTTTTAAAACATCTACCTCTAATAAAAGTCTCTTTATTTGACATTTATTGTTTTAAAAAAAACTGTGTGGAAAGGCATCGTGACATCTGAGGTCTCCTAGCTTGGGTTCTGCAGGTGGGTATTTGCCATGGAAGAGTCCTTTAGGTGGGGTCTCTAAAATGGGTCCAGCCTGGCATCATGGCTCACGCCTGTAATCCCAGCACTTTGAGAGGCCTAGGTTGGTGGATCATGAGGTAAGGAGCTCAAGACCAGCCTGGCCAAGATGGTGAAACCCCATCTCTACTAAAAATACAAAAATTAGCCAGGCGTGGTGACAGGCACCTGTAATCCCAGCTACTCGGGAGGCTGAGGCAGGGAATTGCTTGAACCTGGGAGAAGGAGGTTTCAGTGAACTAAGATCGCGCCACTGCACTTCAGCCTTGGTGACAGAGTAAGACTGTCTCAAAAAAAAAAAAAAAATGGGTCCAGCCCTCTCAGGGAATGGGAGATGAGATGGAAAATCAGCTCTGAGTTCTCAGGCTGTGTCCGATGTCACCTGCCCGAGCTCCTGGGCCTGTGCTCTTGCCTTGCATTGCCACCTAGGCTGTGTCAACTCCCCCTCAAAAGGCCCCTCCACTGCCTCTTACCCTGTCCACCTCCTTTGAAAACTGGCTTAATCTTCCTCCTCCAGGAAGGCTTTCCTGCCCACTGGCCAGGCCAACCCTGACCACTCCCTTACACAGAATGCCCTGAGTGCCTGAGCCAACAGCTGCCACATTCCCCTGCTGGCTTGCTGGCCACACTGCTCTTCAGCCTCACCTGCATGCTCCCTGTGGGTGGCAGGAAGGCTTTTATCTTGTTTTCTCCCAGAGCACCTTGAGTTTGCCTTCCACCAGTGGGGGTTCAAAAAGTACTTGGTCTGGAGACCAAGCCATGGCTCTGGGGGTCAGAAATCCAACAGGGGCAGGTTGACTGCATCCTTGGGGAGCACTGTCTAGGGTCTAGGTGGGGACATCTGTTAGGGGAGTAGTGGGGCCAGAGTAGAGATGAAATTGTGAGTTCGGGGCCAAGAACTCACAGTTCGCGAAGTTTCTTTGTTTATTATTTTGTATTTAAATTCTAAAAGAGCCAGACAAATTCTAAAAGAGCTGTAATATTCAGTTTGAGAAGTTTAAGCAAAATTTCTAGAGCCCCAAGGGTCTACGTGATGTGAAAATAAGAATAAACAGGGCTGGGAGGTGTTGGAAATACAGAGCTAAGATGAAAGCAAAGATTGGGACAGAATGACCTGGTTCCCAGAGCAGGCAGGCCAGTCACTCTAACCCAGGAGATGATTTAATCACTCTAACTCAGGAGATGATTTAGTCACTCTAACCCAGGATATGATTTACTTATGACCATCCCTAGCATACCTAGCATATAAGGCCAGATTTAAAAATCCCAGTCTGAGAGTGACCACTGTGGGCAGGGTAACTTTGTGGAGGAAGTGAGCCTTTACTCTAAGGGAGGGTCTCAGATGTGGATCCTTCAGGCCACAGGGAACTACAGAAGGCTTTTGAGCTTGTGAGATGCATCTTGAAGGTGTGCAGAGTAATTTAGAATGGAAAGAGGACGGCTGTGAGTTGGGAGGCTGGTTCAACCCCCAGATATGAGGGGACATCTGGGGCAGTAGCAGTGGGAATAGAGAAGCAGGGTGGAGGTGAGAGATATCCCAGAGAAGAACCACCAGGACCTGGGGAGGGGCTGGTAGCTGGACACAGGGGATGACAGCAGGTCAAAGATGACACCCAGGGAGAAGTGCAGCTATTCATATTAGGAAGGAATGCTGCAAAGAGGAGCTGGTTGAAAGCTAGGTCTTAGACTCCCTGTGCCATGGGACCCAGCATGTCAATTCACACCTGGGGCAGGTATCAGCTGAAGAACAGCCTGCTCTCAAGAACAGTCTTAGCTTCCCAAGTCCCTTTCTCTTCTCTCCATTCCACCTCCTGGGGAGCCCTGGTTCCAGAGACATTAGACATAGCCCACACTTGCCTCCCACCCTGCAAAGCATCTACTCACAGCTCCTCCAAGAAGCGCAGATGGTGGAAGAGGCCAGGCTGAAGCTCTGTGAGGTTGTTCATGCTGAGGTCCCTGGTGGAGAGAAAACGGGAAGGAGCTGTGAACTCCCCACTTGGGCCAACTGGCATGGTCCAGGGCCAAACCCCCTCAAGGAAACTCCAGCGTTTCTACAGTACCCCCAAACCAGGCCATCCTAACTCCAAAGCCAGTCTGGCAACAGCAGCTGCATTCTCTCTAAGGGCAATAACTGAGCTGAGAGTCAGGTTTCTTCCGGGCCATTTGTGGATTCTCTCTACATGGTCTCCCACTTTCCCCTCTGCCTTTTACCCTTTCTTTGACACTCCCCTGGGACTGGCTGTGATTGAGATTATGAAGGATACTGGCCTCCCTATAAAGGGAGGAACTAGAGTAAAATTAATAGAATTTCAGAGCAGGAAGGGAAGGATTGCCAAATACAAATAATAGCTCACCCACTCTTTTTACCAGTGGGGAAACTGAGGCCCAGAGATCACTCACATTCCAATCTGTGGAGCAGGGTCATTCAGTATTCATGAACTGGTACGACTGTCCCTGGGCTCCCCATGGAGGACCATCCTCTGATTCAATCCCAGAGCTAGTGGCATTTCACCGCCCTTTGACATGTCTACCAGGCTCTACCTGTTTGCTTCCCTTAGTCCAGGGGTCCCCACCCCAGGGCAGCAGACCAGAACTAGGCTTTGGTCTGTTAGGAGCCAGGCAGTACATGCAGAGGGAGGTGACCGGGCAGGTGAGCATTCCCGCCTGAGCTCCGCCTCTCATCAGATCAGCCGAGGCAGCATAAGATTCTCAGAAGAGCACAAACCCTACTGTGAACTGTGCACTCGAGGGGTCTAGGCTGCATGCTGCTATCAGAATCTAACTAATGCTTGATGATATCAAGTGGAACGGTTTCATCCCAAAACCATGCCCCACACTCCACCCCTCGTCCGTGGAAAGATTGTCTTCCACGAAACTGGTCCCTGGTGCCAAATAGGTTGGGAACCACTGCCTTAGTCCACCTGGAAGACGTGACCCCTTGGCACATCACAGAAGGTGTCTAGACTCCCAAGTGGTAAGGATCTCAGTCCCTCTGCGGATTCACAGCCTCCATCATCTTAAGCTTCCCATATCATCTGACAGACCCTGTGGGTGGTTTCAGTGTCACTGTCCTCTTAGAAGCCCTGAACACAAAATAATCACAATCATTACCCTGGCATTTACTGGAGGCCTACTCTATGTCAGACACCAGCTAACCTTTATCCAAACAACCTCCCTCCGTTCTCACAAAAACCCCAAATTAGCTTCCATCATTATCTCCATTTTACACTCAAGAAAACAAAGAGAAAGGAGCATGAGCTTTGAAGGCAAAAGGCCCTGAGGTCAAATCTCTCCTCTGCAGTTACCTATCAGACCTTGGGCCCTTGACTGCTCTGACAGTAGTTGACCTCATCTATAAAAATAGGACAGCACTTTGGGAGGCCGAGGCAGGTGGATCACGAGGTCAAGAGATCGAGACCATCCTGGTCAACACGGTGAAACCCCGTCTCTACTAAAGTTACAAAAAATTAGCTGGGCATGGTGGCGCGTGCCTGTAATCCCAGCTACTCAGGAGGCTGAGGCAGGAGAATTGCCTGAACCCAGGAGGCGGAGGTTGCGGTGAGCCGAGATTTCGCCATCGCACTCCAGCCTGGGTAACGAGCGAAACTCCGTCTCAAAAAAAAAAAAAAAAAAAAATAGGACAGCACCAAGCTAGGAGGGTCCCTGTAAAGATTAAGTGGGCTAATGTTCACAGACTGCCTAATAAACAGTACAGACACAGTACATATTTGCTTTCCTCCTTCTGCCTTTCCCTCGGTGTCCTGTGGGCAAGCGTCCCAGCCCCACAGGCTGGTAGGAGAGGGGTTTATGCCTTCCCCACAGGCCGGTGGGGCTGGGACACTTGCCCACAGGACACCGAGGGAAAGGCAGAAGGAGGAAAGTCGTGGAGAGGGGTTGGTACCTTCCCCAGTGGGTCTCGCCCTGTGTTCACATCTTCTTCACAGTCTGTGCCTGGGTGAGCAACAGTGTGAGACTGTGTATGTGCCTGACGGATTTGGGTTCCATTCTACATCAAACTCCTAATAGCTGATTCTTGTCTCTGCCCGCCCCCTCCCTGAGGGGGTACAGAGGTGGGCCCAGACGAGACCACCACAAGGCTGGGCACTGCCCCCAAGCCTTCTTGAGGCTTTCTCCTTTCCCTGGGCATGCACTGTCGCCCTCTAACCTCAGTGTCTCCGTTTCCCCCCAAGAAATGAGTGTGTTTTCTGTGTGTGCCCAGAAAGGCAGGCTGGGAACGGCCGGGAGAGCTTGTGCTTAGGAGTCCTGTTCCAATCTATAAAAAGAATGTTTAGTCTCAAATGTTTTATCTTTGATAAAGCCCGGGCTCGGGACTCCATGTCCTCCAAGGAAGGAAGACATTCCGTGCAGGGTAGAGCCAAGGAGCTGGCACGCTGCACCTGGCGCTCGTTCTCGTCTACCGTTCCCTCCCTGCTCCCCTGCGGAAACAGCAGGGCCACCTCTGGGCTTGCTGCTCTAGAAACAGGGCTCAGAAGAAGCTGTGGCTGGTGTGCTACGGCCACAGTTTAAGGTGGGAGAGAGGCAGAACCCAGAGAGTTTGTTTATGGATTTTTTTTTTCAGAGTTTCACTGTTGTCGCCCAGGCTAGAGTGCAGTGGTGCCATCTCAGCACACTGCAACCTGCCTCCCAGGTCCAAGAGATTCTCCTGCCTCAGCCTCCCTAATAGCTGAGATTACAGGTGCCTGCCACCATGCCTGGCTTTTATTTGTATTTTTAGTAGCGGCAGAGTTTCACCACGTTGGCCAGGCTGGTCTCAGACTCCTGACCTCAAGTGATCTGCCTGCCCTGGCCTCCCAGAGTGCTGGGGTTACAGGCATGAGCCACTGCGCCCAGCCTGTTGATGGATTTTAAGTCAGGGTTTTGTCCTCAGGATGTTTTTAGGCCCCACTGGCCTCAGACTGCGGCTGAAATGCGAAGGGGTGGGAGCACAATGGGCAGCGGCAGGGGACCTCGGGCAGCACCTACAGAAGCCCATGCTGCAGAACCTGGGCCGGATCTGACTCCTCCCCCTGGTGTCCCACCCCTGGCTCATTCTCAGCAAAGCAGGAGGCTCGAGGAGCCGCAAAAAAATGATTACCTCTAAATATTTACCCTGCGCATTTCTGGATGTGTCTCGACAGGAACGCAGCGGGAGTTCAAGGAGCACTCAGGGCATGTGACTCAGGCCTCATCACTCAGCTGTCCCTCCAGGGGCCGGGGCTGCAGAGGCTCTGATGTCGCTCCATGGCCCCCACCCCACCCACTCCCTCTGCCCCACCACCCTGACTAGCGGCCTCATTGTTCTCCCCTGCGGTGGAGGGAGCCTGAACCCCCCCAACCTGCCCCCACATCCTGCCCCAAAACAACACAAAGCCCAGCTGCAGTACTCAGTAAAGGGGGTGGGGTGGTGCAAGGAGGGTGAATTTCAACTGTTCACGGGTTGGGGGAGCCCCATTCAGGGCTGGCTCTCTCAAAAAGAAAAGGGGTGAGGCTGGTGCCAGGGGAAGGGGAAGGAAGAGGACCGTGTAGAGTTGGAAGAGGGAGGTGAAGTGGGGATTTCAAGGCCGAGAGCCACCAAGCCAATGCCACGGGCCCTGGGAATGGCTAAGGGCCCTGGCAAGAGGCACTGGGCCCTGCTGTGGGGAGGCTGTGCCTGCACAAGGACAGGGAAGGAACTGACACGCAGAAACTCCAAACACAGAGGCTGCTCTGCCATGTTGGTGGTTCCTACTGACATATGACTGTCCTGGGAGGTCGGCTGTGCAGCTGCTTTCTTGTGCAACTCAGAGAGCACAGCTCAAACCTTCAGGCCATGCCTGGACCCAGGGGAAATAAGAGGGCACCCTGATCCTTGGGTGCTTGGGATTTGGTTGTAGCTACTACATTCACTCGGCTGCATGAACTTGTAGATATTTACAAGAAGTGGGGGTCATGGGTTGGGATACCTGGCTCTTGGATGTGCTTGTCTTGTGGGTGCTGGGCATGTGTATGTCATGTGTGAGGGCACATGTGTGTATCTGCACACATGCATGTACAGCAAGGGGACTGAGATGATGGGTGGTGATCTCATTCTGAAGCCTTCTTCTGGAGAGCCCTCGGGACTCTCAGAGGGGCCTCTCAACTGGACACAGCCATGATGGGGTAGGGATGGAAAATGTCTCAGGGAGAGGCTTGCAGGAGGGGAATGCAGAGGAGAGAAGAGAGGGGCAGCCCTGGGCATGGGAAGTGGAAGTTTCTGGCTGCACATGAGGAAAATGTTCTCAGAGCTTCACGCTGTGAGGCAACCAGACCACCCAAGGAAACTGGGTGAGGTGGCGTCACCATGGAGACAGGGAACAGGTTTGATAAGAGGGAGGATGCTGGGGAATGGAGGGGGCAGAGAGCAGCTGAAAGGGGCTGGGGTCATAGGAGACCCCAGCAAATTGAGGCAAAATGGCTCATACCCAAGGGCCTGAGGGGGATTGGGTCTGTTTGAATTTTTCTTATGGGAGGAAGAAGCAGTGAAAGACAAGCCTCCGGGTACCCTGGGGTGGACCTGGGGAAACTGTGCCCACCTTCCCTGCTGGAGAAGAGGCCGGAGAGGCAGAACCCCCTTTTCCACTGTCTCCACTGTGGACTCAGGTTGCCCATCTCTGCAGCCAGGAAAAGGCCAGTTATTTTATTTATGTATACATTTAAGCCATATAACTTGATGATCTGATCTCTGTATACATTGTGAGATAATCAGCACAATCGAGCTAAGATAGTCATCACCTCATACAGTGTGAGTGGGCATGTTCGTGAATGCGTGTGTTTATGAGTGTGTGTGCTTGTGTGTGTGTGTGACCGATAGGAACACTTAAGATCTACTCTCAGGTAAAGGCCAGCTAGAGTGACCAGGAGACGACCCCTGTCCCCAGGCGTGGCTATGCCCCATAGTTCCCTCCTCTGCGAGGTGTTCCCAGCACCCCCCACCGCCC